GGGGGGGAGGGGCTGGGGATAGGGCTAATGTGGTCAACTTAAACGGAGACAGATAGAACAATCAAAATATAACCAGAAAAATAGATTGACTACTTGCTTAACAAGCAGAGACTAAGAATGAGTTATTAAGATAATTCTTTTGGAAGAGGCACTCGAGACTGCGCATGTCAATGACACCATGTGTAGGAAACAAAAGAGTACTAAATGTGGTTCACACATGTCCTAATGACCTTAACAGGAAAAGACTCTTTTGACTGGCGCATTTCTTATTAAATGAATTCAAAACAGACATGTTATAAGACGAAATAAAAACGACTCGCAAATGTAATTATGAAGCAGCACTTGTCAGTCTTGAGAAGCATGACTAAATTTAGAAACGAAAGACGGATCAATGTTAGGCTCGTCTCGGAAATCCTATAAACATGAAATATTTCTGAGCGACAAAAAATGTTGCAAAATATTATCAACGGTTTTAAGATTACTAGTACGCTTAAAATAGAAAATACTATCAAAGACGGAAAATCATGAATATTAGACTTTTCTCTGAAATTCAATAAACATGAAGTCTTTCTGAGCGACAAAAGAAGTAACAGAATGTTATCAACGGTTTTAAGATTACTACTACGCTTAAAACAAAATATACTATCAAAGACGGAAAATCGTTAATGGGGTTCGCCTCTGAAATTCCATACAAAATATGAATTTCTTTTTAGGCAAAATCGCCGCAAACATTTATGGAACAAAATATTATCAAGGGGTTTTGAATCATTGAGTAGGTTTATCAAACAGGAAAGATTAATCATATGCTCTTGTCTGAAATGCGGATGGCTTTCTTACTTCAATTATCTGACTAGTCTTTATTGCACAAGAGTGTCTGGAGTTTAAAACACGTTTATTCAGTTCGTCTGGGTTTTTCAATAAGTCATCGCCATGTCAGTTGGTAATGAAAATTTGAGGTGCGCGAGTTAAGGGAGATAAAACGGGCGTTTTGTATCTTAGAATGATGGACATACCACATTGCCTGCAAAGTACAACTATCAGTACCACGATGACCGCTAAAAGCACAGCTCCCCCACCTGCCAACAAACCAATCTCTAAGGAAGACAAGTTGAATAGGAACATCTCTGTCTCTTGGTGGTAGAAACTAGAATAGCTTGGTGGTGCTTAAGCCAATCTATAGGGAATAAGGGAGGAAATAAGTGAGTAAGACAGCATAAAGAAATAATAAATAGGGTTCTAGGTAGGTTGGTGGGGTTCATAAGCCTCACCTAGTTTATGCCATGTCACCATAAGGATAAAAAATCATCGGGACTGATATACCATGATAAGACCAGTAAAGTCAGCTTGACCAGAAAAACCCAAAGCCTTAGAAAAAAGCTAACAATTTGAATAAGGAAGCGCCTTTCTCTAGTTTTCTATCTCAACGTTAAAATATGCACTTTGATAGATTTTGAATCGTCACGTGACAGTCTTCTGCGCGTGCGCTAGGATATCCAGATGTGTGCAGTAAAACTTCATATAAAACTTAAACATCATCATTTCCTGTGAAGACGAAACGCAACTCTAAGAATATAAGTAAAAAAACAACACTTGAGTCATACATGAAGTATAGGCCTGGAGCAGCTTCATGTGGTGTGTTTAGAAATAGCAGTTGGTTGGAGTCACATACAAGATTGAATAATATTCCTTTGTATTATGTCCTCAACCGCGCAGGGCTAAAGGGTCATCTTGTTGTCAGTATTGTCATGAATGGTCTGTCTTGTTCGATAATCCAGCGGACAGGAAGGCTTTAAGGAATAACTTATCTTGATTGAAAAACACTTTCAAAACACGTAACACCGCGGTTTGCCTTTTGTGATGTAACTGAAGCCAATCACGGGGACAATATTTCTCACCAAAAAAAAATAAAAATCAGTAATTTTCAAAGAGGAAATGAGAAAAAAAATAAAGCAAATAATTGTGCTTACGCGATGAATATCGGCCATACATTATCAGAATTTTAAAAATTTTTTGAAAATCATAATATAATGGTCCATTTTTGTCGACGGTATAAGACCTGGCAAGTTTACAGATTTTCAAACATCAGAAAACGACTTCAAAATGACAAGAATATTTGACTGCGTGCGGTTATGATTAAAATGAGATATTCATATTTCATGGTGCGCGTTTAGTAATGAAAACTCAAGGTATGTTTTCATCGTGGTTGTTGAATATTTATGAAACGTGGACTGTAATCTTGCCCAATTGTACACTTCCGTTAAGACTTGATCGGATTTGATCTGTTAGGTAAACACACTGTTTGGTCAGTGAATAGTATTTCATCACTATACAATACTGTGAAAAATAATTTCGTTTCTATACACAGTCGGTGCTGGAATGTCCGCTCAGTGAAAGAAGTGAAATTTTTCAAATTAACATTCGCTTAGCAAACCAGCTGTTTGGTCCATTTTGACTATTTTGGGTTTAAACATTTTTGCGACATAAGTTCAGTTCCAAACGAATTTCTATTTGAATTGAGAAGATATGAATGAACAATATTATTATCGTTCAGAATATCTTCCGCGTTTCCTTATCGGGCATAAAAACAAAATTAAAAAGTTAAAAGGTACACAAATTGTGACAGTTAATACTAATAAGTGATCTTTAAGTCGTTTTCCTCTCGCTTCATTTGCCGAATCTTAGTTTCTTAGATAAGCAGCCAAAGCGCAAGTAAATTTCCTTGATGAATAAGCGGCGCTGGAAATATAATTACAGAAGACTCATATTAGTAAAAAAAATACGCCAGTACGCGATAGTAGAAGAACACACTTAAAATAAAATTATAAACCAAATACCTTAGCTTTCTCACTCTTTCCCTCTGAATGACTGAAGACTGACAATAATGATTCAAGTATTTACGTTTGCCTAAGGTATTTAGAACAGTTTGTTGATGCAAAAGATTTCATAACAGCGAGGAAATGAGTCTTCTATGATCATCAAATTTCATCAAGTAAAAATAGACGGACGAAGCGCAGAAGGAGAGGGGAGGTATCTTTTACGAGCTAAACTTAATTCAACAATTTTCCAACCTTCCCTCCCTAGTAAACAGAAGCAATACAAAGATTGTTTATTTGCTTCTCCAAAAGATCGGGTTATCAAACGGTTCTTCGTGGTAGGAAGCTCGGCAATTAGTCTTGGCAATGTAAATTGTTATATGAAATTACAGAATAGCCCAGAGCGACTGATGAAACTTCCAGACCTCCATGAAATTATAATGCGAAAATGATRAGAAAACACGATTAAGGTTGCTGGAAGATCTCCATCAAACAAAGTTGGTTGCCAATGAAACTGTAGAAGCCATATCCAAGGGCGGATCTATCCAAAATTTTAGGGGGGGGGGGGGCTAATTGAGTTTCTTACGTCAACATAACAAAAAAAAAAAAAAAA